TTTTAAAAAAATTACTGAAATTTTCCCCCTAATAGTTTTTGTGTATGGGGCCAAATTTAGGTATTTTTGAAACCCAAAAAAATAGTTGTGTTTATTTTACACAATTTATCCAAAGATTCTGATTAAAAAATTTTTAAATGGATTATGTATCCTGAAGTTTTGTGTTTGTACCTTAATGTTACTTTGAATTTTTTAAAAAAATGTTTGGTTTTTTAAAAATATGGGTGAGAAGTTTGTAGTTTGAAAGATAAAAGGGAAAATTTGGTTAAATCCTGTTAATTCATTGAATTAGCATTCAGCTTTTGTCTGTATTTTCCTGAAATTTTCCCAATCCCTGCTTTCTGTAGTTTGTGTGAAGCTGTCTTTGGCCAGACTTTTTTTTTAAATTTGCCTGATCAACTAGCTGTTGTTACCGTATTTTCAAGTACAATCATCACGGGGGGGGGGGGGAAAACTGGTGTCGGAGCCTCTTGTAGAACTTCTCCAGGTTTCCTTGAAGCCTGCACGTACCTTTGTTCGAATATTTTTTTATCTACTGGATGGGGTTGAAAGAGTCATCCCTTGGACCTTGACAGTGTTTTTTGTGCTTTGGGTTTTTATTCTAAAAAACCATTCTTTCACCCCAGAAGTTTTTTATTGGTGTGCAGTTTAAATTTTTTTTTTTTTTTATAATTTGAGATTTTAAAAAAATTTCTGCTTTTTTTGGGGTGGAGGAACTCTTCCATTTTTTTCCAGTGTTGTTCGTTCATTAACATGATTTTTTGAAACATGCCATTTTAAAGAACATATCCCATATTTTTAAAATTCAGGGTATTGTACATTAATACAGTGCTTATTTAATCTGCGGGGCATGCTATTTATAGGCCCCAGGAAATCCAGAGCTGAAAATACAGTATCCTAAGTGTTTTTTTATTACTGTAAGGGGCCCCGTTTTACAGGTTTCAAAATAAGCAGTTTTCGTTATACCTTTCTTTTTTATTCAGTTACTACAAAAAATATATTCACCATCATTTAAGCTAAGTATAAAAAATTTTTAAGGGATTTTTTGTGTATGTTTAGCTTTTTTTTGGGCTTAGCTTTATTGCTCTCCTAATATCTTTATTAGGCTTTTAATACATTTAAAAGTGAAAAAAGGCTTGTTTCATTTTACAGGATTTTTGTTTACAGTGTAGGGAAATTAAACCCTTTGTGTAAGTGGGGCCTTTCTGCATTTGAAAAAATTTGATTGGGGGTTCTTTTTTATTTACAGGTTTCTGTTTTTTAAATATTTTCTATTTCTGACATTCCTAAAAAAGAGTTTTTGTAGATAAAAAAGATTTGACATGGGAAAATCAGTGAGAACAATTAAAAAAAATTTAGGGCGGTCCTTGCCGTAGGCAAAAAGTCGCCCTTGCAGTATGTTGCCGAAACCTTTTTTTTCCCCTATTTTTTTATTTTTTTTTAAAAAATTTTTTGGGTTTGAAAATTTCAGTTTTGTGTTTTTTTTATGTCATTCTTTTTTCTACACTAAATTTGGGTAGGAAATAGAAAAAAGTCCCAAAAAATGAAGGGAAACTGTTTTTCGCCTTGTCAATTTTTTTTTAAAAAAAAAATTTATATTTGTAAGTGTTTTTGTAAAATGCGTTTTTCGTGTAGTTTGGGGTCTGAAATGGCTTTTTACAAATTTTTTTGGGTCGGGGGTCTGGGTTTGAAACCCTTTCTGGTCGAAAAAAAATTTTTTCGGGGGTCCACTGTATTTTGTTCCCTTTTACAGGGCGGTGGCACTCTCGCTGCTGTGGTGAGTCACTCGTTTCACTCGTATTGCTGTTACACTACTCCGTGACCTTGGTGTTTTTTTATCTCTTCCATGTTCTTAACTGTCTGTTGCTTGTCGTTTTCCGTCTCTGCTGCTGTCTTGTCTTTGTTTCCCGTCTCTATTTCTTGTATGTTTCTGTCTGCCTGTGTGTGTATCTCGGCCCCCTTTGTTGGGGGCTGTCAGAACCAAAGGTTTACCCGTTCCTTGTCATTTGATTCCCAAAATTTTATGGTTTACTTTCCCAGTTTTCCCCAATCTATAACACAGTAAGACTTTTTTCTGGCTTTTTTTTTTTTTGGTTTATTAAGAATTTACCCTGATAACTGTACTTAGGACCTGTACAGAGAAAGACCCAAAGTCAATCAGCCACCAGCACCAAGAAATTCAGCCCAGCCCGTCCCCAGCCGGGGGTGAACATGATTACAACATGTTCCAGAAATCGTTTTTCGTAATTAGGGCAAGGTTTAGGGGGAATTCGGCCCCGGTGAAAACTATTTTTGTAGTACAAAATGAAAGGTTGTAGCACAAATGTTCCCATGGGTTATTATGAGGGTTTTTTTTTTATATTTCCTTGACCATTTGTGGCCACATGCAAAATTCCCAAAAAGCCACTTAAAAACTCAGGGTAAAAAATCCCCCCTTTTTTTTTTTAACCCTTTTCACTGTTAGTGCCTGTTTTCCTCGCTTCCAAGCCCCGTGTTGGGTGCCCCCTAGTACACACCCAAAAATTTTCTAGGCAGCTTCAAAAATCCTTTGCAGGGACAGCTGGTTGGAATTACAAAATGAGAAAATGGGTCTGAGTGGTCAGTGTGCACGGTTTTAAAAAAAAGTCCTGCAATTTTTAGTGTTTTTTTTTTTAATGAGAAAAAGAAAACTCCCGACTGTGTTTTTGGGTTTTAAAACCACTGGAGTTTGCGGTTTTATTTTTTCGTTGGGGATAGATGGTCGTATTTTTTCTCGTTTTTCTTGGCCCCCCATTTGATAGTGGAAGTATTTACAGAAATAGAGATTGTTTTGAATGTTTTTTTGGGTTAAAGTACCTTGAAATTGAGTCAAATAGCGGAATGTTTTATTTTTTGGCAGTGTTTAAGAGAAACAAATCACGCCACGACCAGTAACTCAACTGGTGGGTCTAATATGTTTTCCCAATGTGCTGTATTATTATCCAATTGATAAACAAATGGGTTTAGCGAAATTGCTATGAGTTTGGTCGGGCTGGAACAATGGAATTTGGCCCAAAATAGGGCCAAGTGGGGAAAGTTTCTAATGGAAAAATCACGAGACCGCTAACTTCCGAGAGCTAATTCCATGAGTTTCATCAGATTTCGTATATTGGGGACATTTCCCAGGATAAGTTCTTTCATAAGAATTTTTTTTTTTTTTTTTTTTTTTTTTTTTTTCGACACTGAGGCAGTTTGTGGCGGGGTCTGACAGTGAATGGGTTAAAAGGGGGGGTGTTAATGTGACTGGCATCAGTGATCCCTGGTGTTTTCCCAAATGTTTGCTCAAACTGGTACCAAAAAAAGTGCTCCCCCAAAGTACTAAGGGTCCGATTTTTTAATACGCTGCACCCGTGTTAAAAATCCCTTCTAAATTTTACTAGGGATCTCGACCTCTGCCAAATTTTGGTGACAGGAAAAATAAAATGTTGAGCTACATTTGGAGCTCTAGCAGTAAGAACGTAAATCAACGTTTGGAAAGTTAAAGGGTTATTGTTCTTTGCAAACTGCACAGATTGCATGCGATGAGATAAAATGCATATAAGGAATTAGTGATAGGATATTGCAAAATAGTGAATTTGCACCTATCGCATCTACATAAAATAGAGAAGACCTGTGCAGAATTTCAGCATTATACAAAAAATATAATTGGAAAAATCATCAGTAATGTCTCCATAAGACTCAACTTAGACTTATACAGACAACAAGTCCCTACTAAGAATGGTGTTTCACAGAGAGACGAGCAGTACATTCCGTCTAACCCACGGAGATGTACTCCACACAAACCAGAATCAAACACATAATAGATGACAGAGCAGATTAAGCTTGTGGCCACCATGAATCAACAGCCAAAGAGAGAGAGAGAGAATGCTTGATGTAACTCCTAAGAGAGTAACGATGAAAATTGAGTGAGGCAAACCCTGCAGCCCAAACATCAGGTGTGATCATGTGACTAAACAGCTACCCCAGCAATTGAAACAAGCATGCAGGGGTTTAACATGTGCTGACAGTCAATCAAAATTCCATCACCGAGCACGGAGGTGTAGGCATACATCCTACCTACTTATTTAAACTAATGTAATAAGTCTTATAATATAAAGCAAGACATTTTCATTTTAGCTGTTAATGGAATTATTTCCAATGTAAAATTATACGTAAATTTGAAATATATAAAATACATGTATGTACATTAGGAGTTTGGAGGGATATGTTGTGTATCTTTATACATATATGCTTCTAAACTGTTGTGTTCTGAGCACCTCTGCAAAAACAGTGATTATGTGTGAATGAGGTGAAAGTGTTGAATGATGATGAAAGCATTTTCTTTTTGGGTCACTCTGCCTCGGTGGGAGACGGCCGACGTGTTGAAAAAAAAAAATGTACATTGTGTTCCTTTCAGAGGGTGAAACAGGATGTTACTAAAGTGTCAGCTGCCTTGACCTCCCTTGGTTCTCATGCAGTGGAATTGACTTGAAGATTTTTCTATTGCCCACATTGAAGACACTTCTATCCTTTCTCGAGACCATGACTCCAGTATTGTATTTACAGGAGACTAGATTTGGGGCATTGGAGCTGTCCCTGAGTTCCATTTACATTTTTTATGCCTTTGTACCCACTGCTGTTGCAATTGCCAAGGGGGTTGTGGGTATCTTGGCAATTTCTCTTCAGAATGTCCCATAAGAACTGTGTCATCAGTAAAAAGCAATTTTGACAACTCCCATTCCATGCCAAATACACTATCTTTCATTCCCACATCTCGTCCCAACACCTTAGCATTCATTTCTTTTACAACCCCATCTATATATATATGTGACATCATACATCCCTAATAATTTCCGTTTCTCGATAATAATATGCATGAGTTAAATTGAAAATCTAACTGGTAGATTAGTAATCTAATAATAATAATCACATAACTAGTCTAATTACATTAACTGCATTTTTACATAATGGAGTACTGTATGTTTGTGCTTCTTTATTAACAGAATTTCGATTGCTGACAGCTTTGGAAATAATTGAAGAGGTGAAGAAACTTCAGAATGTTGCTTACCAACTGGGTCTGGAGGAAGCTAAAGAGATGACCCGAGGAAAGTATTTACACATTCTCAATAACAAGAAGGAGAAATGATTGGCAATATATGGAGGAGCACTTCTTTGGAAGGTAAGGAAAATATTGTAGTATAGCCAGAAATCTACCAGTATTTTCCTTTGTGATATTGCAGTCTTACCATATGTAATTTACAATATGTACTATGTGTGGTACAGTGATCAGCAAAATGTTCTTATCATTTTAAAGTAGATTTAGTCAGCCACGGGCTAAAATGTACTGCATAATTTAAAAAATCAGAATTTTTTTTATGTATATCAATTTACAGGCTAAGACCTGTTATCCTACCTTAGCTCATTTCTAAGCCCAACCCTGGGGTATGCTATCACCCCGATACCTACTTACAGTTGACTAACACCCAGATACCTACTTACTACTAGGTGAACACGGGCATCAGGTGTAAGGAAACATGCCCAATGTTTCCATCTGTGGCAGGAATTGAACCATGAATGCTCAGTCTGTTATTTCACACACAAAAATGTATCACTTAATATGTAACGTTAGAGTTCATTACTTTAACCCGTAAACGGTCCAAGCAGATCTACGTTCACATGTGTAGTGCTACAAAAGTAGATCTACGTTTTTTTACACATTTTCAAATGTAAAAAAACAAAAAGAAGATCTACTTTTTTTACATACTTTCAAATGTTGAAAAAACGTATATATACGTTTGGACCATTTACGGGTTAAAAGTACAGCATGAAATATAACATTGTCTAATAAAAGCAGTGCTGATGTATTAAAAAAATGGAATTTGGATACGGTGTTCAGATCTATGAATCATGCATTCATTTATTGTAGACTAGATCAAGGAAATTAATATTTTATGTCCAGTACATTTGCAATATACTCTTTATGGAAGGAAATGTTAGTAGAAGGTTCTGTGATTCAATGTTGTCATGGCACATGCCTCCTAAATTAAAAAGAAAAATATTTTAGGATTGGGAGCTGTTAACACAGGAAAGTAAAGATAAATGTATATTGATTGCAAGTGAAAAGAGAAAACTTGTAAGATTTACATGATGTCTTACATATTCTGGTAACAGAAAGAAAAGCTAACAAACTTGCTGGAATGCAAAATATTTTAAGAGCTTGAATTTTGCACTTGTATGACAGGACAATAGTACTGTCCTGAATAGTTGCTGTCTACAAAATCATATGACAGGGCAGTAGTGCTGTACCCCTTTGGGTGCTTGCTGACTACACTCATGGCAAGACAGTAGAACTACTTCCCACGGTGGTTACCAACTACACTCATGGCAAGAAACTAGTACTTTCCGTGGTGGTTACCGACTACGCTCATGACAGGACGGTTCATTTCTCTTGGTAAATGCTGATTATGCTTGTTACAGGAGAGTAGTACTTCCCATGGTTGTTGCTGGGTTCACTCATGATAGTATAATAGTACTTACCTCCTGAGTATTTTTTTAACAGTGCCCATTTCCCGCTGAGGTAGGGTGACCCATAAAAAGAGAGGAAACACATGCATCGTCATTCATTCAATTGCTGTCTTGCCAGACTTGTGCAAATGCCACAGTTCAGATAAAGGTTCCAAACTGCAACATCCTCACCCCTCCTTTAGAGTGCAGCCACTGTACATCCCACCTCCAGGACTCAAGTCTGGCTAACCAGTTTCCCCTGAATCTCTTCATAAATGTTACCGTGCTTAAACTCCAACACCTTGGAATGTGACCTGGTAAAAAGGCATTGCTTGTTGCCAGCCTTATAATGATTGTACAATTGTTTTTATTTTAAATGTTTTACTTTGTGCATAAAGTTTAGCATTTGTCATGAATATAGGCGGTACCCGCTTTACAGTTTTCAGATGCAGCAGTTTTCAGTTATGTCCATTCTTCATGTATTCAGACTTCCTACAATAAATATATTCACCACTCACTATAAGCTAAGGTTGAAAATATTTTAAGGTAAGTAATGATGTGTAAAGGTAGAAAGTTGAAAATGAGCATAGATAAGAGTAAGGTGATGAGGGTATCAAACGATCTAGATAAAGAAAAATTGGATATCACATTGGAGGGAGGGAGTATGGAAGAAATGAATGTGTTCAAATATTTGGGAGTTGACTTGTCAGCAGATGGGTTTATGAAGGATGAGGTTAACCATAGAATTGATGAAGAAAAAAAGGTGAGTGGTGCTTTGAGGTATCTGGAGACACAGAACATTATCCATGGAGGCAAAGAAGGGAATGTATGAGTATAGTGGTACCAACACTCTTATATGGGTGTGAAGCATGGGTTGCAAATGCTGCAGCAAGGAGGAGGCTGGAGGCAGTGGAGATGTGTCTAAGGGCAATGTGTGGTGTAAATATTATGCAGAGAATTCATAGTGTGGAAATTAGGTGTGGAGTTACTAAAAGTATTAGTCAGAGGGCTGAAGAGGGGTTGTTGAGATGGTTTGGTCATTTAGAGAGACTGGAACAAAGTAGAATGACTTGGAGAGCATAATCTGTAGGGAAAGGAAGGTGGGGTAGGGATCATCCTAGGAAAGGTTGGAGAGAGGGGGTAAAGGAGGGTTTGTGGGCGAGGGGTTTGGACTTCCAGCAAGTGTGTGTGACTGTGTTGGACAGGAGTGAATGGTGACGAATGATTTTTGGGACCTAAGAAGGCCTGGTCATGGACCGGGCCACAGGGGCATTGATCCCCGGAATGCCCTCCAGGTAGGTAACTGTTGGAGTGTGAGCAGGATAATATTTTGTGAAAGGATTCAGGGAAACCAGTTAGATGGACTTGAGTCCTGGAGGTGGGAAGTACAATGCCTGCAGTTTAAAGGAGGGGTTTAGAATATTGGCTGTTTGGAGTGACATCTAAACTGTTGTATCTGAGTACCTCTGTAAAAGAGTGATAATGTGTAAATGATGGTGAAAGTATTTTTCTTTTTTTTGGGGTCACCCTATCTCAGTGGGATATATGACTGGTTTGTTGAAAAAAGAAAATGTGTATACAGCCTCTCCTCACTTAATGACGGGGTTTCGTTCCTAAGACCGTGTCAGTGAACAAATTCGTCGGTAAGCAAGGAGCATACTATAATGGTAGTGTGTTTTTGTCAGCCATCTTTGATATTGTTTTAATGTCATCTTTGCACCATTTATAACATTTTTACTATATTTCTAAATGTTTATACAGTAGTGTACTGTATTTTGTAATAAACAGAATAGAGGAAATCAGCTCTAATAGATATTATTTAAGTATGCATACTGGTCAGAGAGCCCGTTGTAAGTCCAAGTCGTCAGTAAACAAGTACATTGAAGTTAGGAGAGGTTGTATATATGTGTGTAGTCCCTGTTCTTAATCCACCCTCTTCTTGGAAGACTGGGGTCTGTTGTGGTGTGTGTACTCAATGGATATTTTTGCACAATATATTCATATGCCCCAAATCCACGTGAGTTATGTAGAGCCACACATACTCAACTTAATTTAGTTGGTTGATATACAGAGCAGTCAAATTGTCTCATTATTCAGCACTTTAAACATAAGCTATTATTGACATTATCAGCTTGTTGCTGCTGTTATAAAAACTTTATTACTATCATTATCAACTTGCTATTCCTGTCATCATCAAGTTGATAATATCTTCGGTTTGCTACTATCAATATCAGCTTGTTACTATCATTACTAATTTACTGTCATATTACAGATATCATCACATGGAAAGCAAAAAATTCAAAGTAGAGTATTAACAGCGCTTATAATATGTCCAGAATTCATTTCGTTACTGACCAGAAGTCAACAAATTTAGACTAAAGAAGAGATACACCTCATCACTGAACAGGAGAAGAGTTGCTGGGTTTTTATCCAAGCAAGTGCCCTGTGAAAAGAGTGGCATACCTCCTAAGGGTGTGCCACACCCCTCAGCCACAACTGCTCAAATCTCGCCCCATTTCGGTGATCCAGCGTTGGGGGTGAGGAATGAGGTAGGGACAGTAGATACAGTTTTTCTTAAGTCCATTGTATATATACACTTAAGTACCTGGTATATATACAATAGTTCACATCTACAATATATAATTTTGTTTAAAGATCAGTCCTTACCAGTATACTTTGGATAATGAAGATTCTGCTGTGTATTGCATTTACACATTTTATAATGAACATTAAAATTAATGGTAATTTTAATACAATTTTGTAATTATTTGCAAACTATTTTTTCTTTAATGTAATAAAGTTAAAAATATAAAAGCCTTCTTAATTCTGAGTGTATATTAGCAAGTTATTTTTCTGGATAGTAATAGATGAAAAGATTTTTATAGAGTTGAGAGGGCAATAAGTTTTAAGCTGATCCCATGAATTAAAACTAATATTTAGCAATATTCTTATACTCAGTACATTTCCTGTTTTTTTTTTTTTTAACTATCATTGTTTTTATTTGTTACATCCATGAGTATGTGCTGAACTCGTAGGGTAGGTCATACAGCGTATGGAGAATGGGAGGCATTCGGGCTCAATCTGAAGAAGGGAAGCTCCAATTCCTTGGGTTTATAAGCGTTCACCAGCATCAAGGCACCTCCCCTTTCCCCTTTGATGGATTATTTAATTCTAGTCTCTTCAAGTGTGTTGCCTTGTTGCAGGTGATGAGCTCTTGTTCCAAAGAATTGGAGTTATTCTTCCTTGGCTCAAATCTGATTACCTCCTGTTTCCCGGGTTGTTTGGCTGCTTTGGGTTTAGCATTCCCCATAAATGTAATATCTATTCTCTTATTGTATTGCCCCACAAATACTGTGTATTATGTATTCACTTAATTTTTGTAGTTAACCTGAAAGTTGTACATTTAGAGATATTGTGTATAAAAAAAGACACTAGATGCAGTGGAGTTCTTTAATGGTACAATGTTTTGCCCATAGCTGGAGTTCTTCAAATAAGATACTCCTTAAAATAATGCAGAAGTCGTTTGTATGAGTCAGGTGCATTGAGGTTTCAAGTTTAAGGTGCTGCAGGCAGACTACGAGCCATTGTTCTAGAACAATTAGTACTATAAGGGTTGTTAAAATGAACATGCAACTAATTGATGGTGTTTGTAAATTTTATTGCAGATAATTCCAAGCATCTATTCTTGACTGTTTTTTCCTGAAACTATAGTCTGGTCCTATCCCATGCCATTAAATGAGCGGCAGTTATGGTGCTGTGCATGCACGCGCGCACATTCCTAATACTATCCATTCTGCAAGTGTTTTTGTGTTCCTATAAGCATAGAGGCAAGCTTCTAGTCATTTTCCTGATATAGACTAGGTCACATTCTCTACATGAAATGTGTAAACCTCTGCATCTTTGCATCTGGTGTGTAGCATGGAGGTCCTTGTACAGTCTTGTATGATCTTAGTAGTGATCACTGTGACATTGTGTTGGCCTTGTATAATATGGATACTGTATTGATATTATCTTTTAATGGTGGTGCCCGGGTGTCTGCTTTCTGCTTGCAATGGCAGATAACTTATTGAGGAAATCTAAGGTTGGAGAAGAAATTCTCCATAGAGTTTTGTTCATCTTTCAAGAATTCATGAGTAGATGGAGTGCTCATAGATGAAACTAGATTAGCACTCTTCTTGGTTCTCAGATGGTTGGAGAAAAAAATTTAGGTTGTTTTGGTTTCTGGTATACCATTCACCTCAGGACATCATCTTGTTTGGTATACCAGACATCTAAGGGAAGGGTCTCGTTAATCTCCTCCAAAGTAAATTGTATGGAGGATTCTCTCTGGGTTACTTATTCAAGAAATGCTGGAAATTAAATTGTCTTAGTAAGATGACCAGCACATTATCAGCATATCTTAGCCTAGTGATGTGTTGCAGAATGATACTATTGAAACTTGTCTTCCATCATTCTGATTCATCACTTGGTTGAGATAAATTTATGATGTGTTGGTCATCATACCCAAGCAATTTAATTGCCAGCATTTCCTTGAACAAGTAAACCAGAAATAACCCTCCAAGAATTTTGTCCTTGGAGGCAAAGAGGGGAATGTATGAGAGTATAGTTTTACCAACACTCTTATATGGGTGTGAAGCATGGGTGATAAATATTGCAGCGAGGAGAAGGCTGGAGGCAGTGGAGATGTCATGTCTGAGGGCAATGTGTGGTGTGAATATAATGCAGAGAATTCGTAGTTTGGAAGTTAGGAGGAGGTGCGGGATTACCAAAACTGTTGTCCAGAGGGCTGAGGAAGGGTTGTTGAGGTGGTTCGGACATGTAGAGAGAATGGAGCGAAACAGAATGACTTCAAGAGTGTATCAGTCTGTAGTGGAAGGAAGGCGGGGTAGGGGTCGGCCTAGGAAAGGTTGGAGGGAGGGGGTAAATGAGGTTTTGTGTGCGAGGGGCTTGGACTTCCAGCAGGCGTGCATGAGCGTGTTTGATAGGAGTGAATGGAGACGAATGGTTTTTAATACTTGACGTGCTGTTGGAGTGTGAGCAAAGTAACATTTATGAAGGGGTTCAGGGAAACCGGCAGGCCGGACTTGAGTCCTGGAGATGGGAAGTACAGTGCCTGCACTCTGAAGGAGGGGTGTTAATGTTGCAGTTTAAAAACTGTAGTGTAAAGCACCCTTCTGGCAAGACAGTGATGGAGTGAATGATGGTGAAAGTTTTTCTTTTTCGGGCCACCCTGCCTTGGTGGGAATTGGCCAGTGTGATGATAAAAAAAAAATAAAACAATTTACTTTGTATGGATATATCAATGTTTGGTTTACCAGACAAGATGATGTCCTGAGGTGAATTTTATATCAGAAACCAACCAACAACAATGATCCAATTCATCTTTTCTTACACCATAATGAGAACTGAAAAGTCCAAATAGGATTTTTTTTCTATGAGCACTCAGTCTGCAGTGATGAATTCCTGGAGGATGAACGGATCTATATAGAGAGCTGCTTCCCCAGCCTCAGACTTCAGCATGTGATCTGCCATTGCAAGCAGAAAGCAGACATGATGCACCAAAAGGCTAAAAACTAGGACACCATTAAGAGATACTACTGACAAGGCCACAGCAAGCAGAGTATCCCTTATGCTATAGAAGTCCAACAGAAATGTCAGTGATCACTACTAAAACCACACACCAGATGTAAGGATGCAGGGGTTTACAGCATTCCATGTAGATAATATGAGCTGATCTGCATCACAGAATAGACTAGAAGTTTGCCTCTTCATCTACAGGAGCACAAATATGCCTATGGAATGGATAACATTAATATGGGTGCGTGCATGCACAGCTCCGTAACTGTTACTCTCAGTGGCATGAAATAGGACCAGACTATTGTTCCAAGAGAATAAGCATGGTTGTTTGGAATAGACTACTAAAAAGATTACAATCTTTAAACAAAAAATACCTAATATGGGCTGGTACACCACCTGCAGTACCTACTTAATACCTCAATGCACCTGACTTTTGCATTATTTAAGCTTTTTTTTTTTTTTTTTTTATATCTTTTGTGGTGCACTTTAAAAAGTCCACTGGGTAAAATGTTATTTCAGTAAAGGGCCATTACAACTAGTCATTTTTTATAACACTTGCTGGCATCCTGCAGTAGATGTGTTTAATTAATTCTTAATTTTAAATGTATTGTTTGCATAATAGGTACAGTAATGAAACTGCTATTTTATTAAAGCTGTTTATTACCCTTACACTGCAGTTGTAGGGATTAAAAAAAAAATTCATATCACATTTCTACATAATTTGTAAATGATAAATACATAGTATATACAGTTCAACAATACACATGAATTATTATAATCAAAAAGAAGCGCTAAGCCACAAGGGCTATACAGCCATACACATGAAACAAGGGTACTTATGTGGTCTTAGGCTGTATAATCCTCCGGGTTTAGCGCTTCCCCCTTGATTATAATAATAATATGTGGTCTTAGACTATTATGGGTTTAGCTCTTCCACATGATACTAGTATGTTTTGCTCAGTTGTGAGCTAGTTTGATGAATTTTATTATCAAAAAGAAGCAATCAACCTAGTATGATGAATAAAAGTTCTGAAACACCTGGGTATTTTTATTGGAAAGCTTTACAACATTGTATAGCCAGCATGGTCAATTTCTCAGAGGTAGGAGGATGGAGAAACATACTGGAGCCAGAGAAGAGGTGCAGCAATTGAAAGATGTTACATGCAGGTTGGGGTTAGCTATTGGAGTTTCACAAGACGTGGAGATACACAGTCGAAACAAACATCACATCCACAGGTGGGTGGAACTCACTAGTGGAAGCAGGTCATTCCTTAATGTGGGCTAGAGGTTAGCAACAGGGTTGTAAAAGATATCCTCTGTACAGAGGATATCTTCTACAACTAGTGATAACCTCTAACCCACATTATGGGACTAACCAACTTCCACTAGTGGGTCCCATCCACCTGTGACATCAATTGCATTCTCTCTCCACATCTACATTATTATTATTATAATCAAAAAGAAGCGCTAAGCCACAAGGGCTATACAGCTCCACATCTACAACTATTGCTAAATCTGTGGCCCAGATTTAAGCATGTCCTACTTCCACTAGCTGGCCCCATCCACATGTGATGTATTCACCTGCTGCAACTCTCCTCTGGCTCCAGTATAAAAGTCTCTCTGCCTGTCTGAGATTGACAAAACCTGCTGTATAGGAAAAAAAAAAAAAAATCTCAAAGATATCCAGGTGTTGTGCCTGTGTCTCATTCATCAGCATTTATTATTATTATAATCAAAAAGAAGCGCTAAGCCACAAGGGCTATACAGCTCATCAGCATTTAGATACTGCACCTTCTGATGCAATAACTGATCAAGTGTAGTGGAAAATATAATGCTCACACTTGACCAAAAAATTCTTATATCTTGTATTCCTAAGCATCTTGTTTTACCTGTATGTTGGCAGTTTGCACATCTTTCCATATATAACAGATGACAAGATTAGTGCCGATTATAAAATGTACATTAATTGTAAATATTAGTTGGCTAGATAACATGTAAAAATGACTGTAGCCTTGGAGACAGGTTAAAGAAATATCTACATGGTACAAATTATGAAGACATACTTTGTAGTACTACTTGTATTAAATAAATGATCTTTTAATTGTGATGACTACAATTATCCTTAATGTCACTTAGATTTTGATCAAGAATAAAACCCTCATCATACTAAATAACCTATATTGGAATAGTTCTTTAAGCACAAATGTCACAACTACCAACCATGACTGGAGATACATATTCACATACAGTTCAATGTAGTATTATCCACAGAATTTAGTTTACCTGTTTAATGTCTTTGGTTTAATGCTGGTCTGGGTAAACCCCTTAAAAATAACTATGTAATAATTTGTAAAATCTCATCCACAGTAGAGGCTACCACAACGTGGATGTCCGCACATAAAATTACCATCCTTCACACTGGGCTCTTTATACGCTTTATCAACTTGTAGGTGTACAGATGTTGTTATTCTTCAAATTTGTCTAGATCATCAAATGATTTAGTTTTGTGTGCTCTGAAAAGAGTAAAAAAAAACATACATAAATATTCTGCATATATACATAATATACAAAGAGGCAATGTATGGAGGGAATAGAGGATGGTGTGGGGTCATCTAGAGTACATTATAGGTTTGAAGTGGTTTAGGCATGGCGGGGAATAGGATGACAAAGAGGGTGTATAAATCTGGGGCGGATGGATGGGGTCATCCCAGAAATGGTTAGGAGTGAAGGGAAAGGGGGTAAACGAAGTCATGAGTTAGAAGATCTTCAGCATCCAACAGACTTGTGTGAGCAGTGTAAATTGCAAACGAGTGGCTCTAATGCTTAATGTGCTGTTAGAGTGTAAGCAAGGTAACATCTACGAAGGGACTTAGGGAAATCGGTTAGCCACACTCAAGTCGTGGAGGTGAGAAGGGAAGTCCCTTCGCTGAAGAAGAGGTGGGGATGTAGGGTAATCTGTATTGTGATGTTGGCACACTTCTGACAAGATGCTAATGAAGTCAATGAGTGTGAGTGTTTGTACACTCACTTAATTGTACTCGCCTAATTGTGGGTACAGGGGTCAAGACTCAGCTCCTGGCCCCACCTCTTCACTGAATGCTACTAGGTCCTCTCTCTCCCTGCTCGATGAGCTTTATCATACCTTGTCTTAAAGCTATGTATGGTTCCTGCCTCCACTACATCACTTGCTAGACTATTCCACTTCCTAACTACTATATGACTGAAGAAGTACTTCCTAATATCCCTTTGACTCAACTTCCAAGTATGACCACTTGTTTGTGTCCCCCCTCTCTGGAACATCCTGTCTTTGTCCACCTTGTCTATTCCACACAGTATTTTGTATGTTATCATGTCTCCCCTAACCCTAGCACTGGTCCTAGAACTGACTCCTGTGGGACCCTGCTTGTCACAGGTGCCCACTGTGATACCTCATCATGTACCATGACTCGCTGCCTCCCTGTCAGGTATTCTCTGATCCATTGCAGTGCCCTTCCTATAATACACACCTGATCCTCTAGCTTCTGCATTAATCTCTTGTGGGGAACTGTGTCGAAGGCCTTCTTGCAGTCCAAGAAAATGCAATCAACCCACCTACCCCTCTCTATGTCTTACTTCTGTTACTTTATCATAAAACTCCAGAAGGTTTGTGACACAGGATTTGCCTTCCATGAATCTGTGCTGGTTGTCGTTTATACTCTTGTTCCGTTCCAGGTGCTCCACCACTCTCCTCCTGATAATCTTCTCCATGACTTTGCATACCATACATGTCAGTGACACTGGTCTATAGTTTAGTGCCTCTTTTCTGTCTCCTTTTTTTAAAAATGGGATCTACATTTGCTGCCTTCCATACCTCAGGTAGATGCCTAGTTTCAAGGGATGTGTTGAAGATTGTGGCTAGTGGTACACACAGCATTTCTGCTCCCTCTCTAAGGACCTACTGGGAGATGTCCGGTCCCATTGCCTTTGAGGTATCAAGGTCACTTAGCAGCTTCTTCACCTCAGTTGTCTGTGTCATCCAACACTTGTTGGTATATTCCTTGTTGGCATCCCCCTCTGTCTTCCCAGTCCTCCCTGTCTCCACTGTAAATACTTCCTTAACCCTTTGAGGGTCGACAGGCCCTCTCCGAAACCCGTTCTCAGGGTCGGCCAAATTTAAAAAAAAAAAAAAATTATTTTCTCTTATGAAAAGATAGAGAATCTTTTCCCGATTATAAAGACACCAAAAGTTTAAAATTTGATAGAAAACTTACGGAATTATGCTCTCGCAAAGTTAGCGGTCTCGGCGATGTTTGCGCATCGGCGATTTTGCCCTCTTTGAGCCCCATTTTCGGCCAATTTCACTGTACTAGTCGACAAAAAACATGAATATTTCGATAGAACTCCATTTTTTCTATCGAATGGGTGCAAGAAACCACTCATTTATGAAATTCTACTATCCAGTACAGTGGTCAGAATTTAGCAATTTTGCCAATTTCACACAAATTTCAAAAGATGCCAATTTCCGAATAGGGTCCAGAATAAACAAGAAAGACATTCCTGGCACTAAAATGACATTTCCTCTAGTCATTAGTCATGTCTCAAGGCCCCTCTTATATTCTTTTGCTTTCCACTTTGAATTTTTATTTTCACAAAAAATATAAGATTTACTGTTATGCAGACTACTGCATTAGTGTAAAAAATGGTATAAATATTATTGGTGCACTTGTGAAAGAATATTAGACTCACCAGTTGACGTGTATTGCACGCTTGGCACGATTTGTTTACTTTTGAAGTTTGGTAAAAATCGAACATTTCTGCTACTTTGAGCTCAATTTCAAGGCACCTTTCTTTGTAAAACCAGTCAAAATCATCTCAATTTCTGTAGTATGTCTTCCATTCTATAAAATGAGACCAAGAAAACTAGAATACAACAATAAATACCATACGAAAATACACTGCAAAGTCGCTGATTTATTAAAAAAAAATGGTCAAAGTTTTTTTTTTCTCATTATGCACTGTGTGCTGCAGGATTTTTTTTAGACTGTGCACACTGACCACATAGACCCATTCTTTCATATGAAGGCCTACCAGCTTTCTCCCACTAGATTTGAGGCCGCTAGAATTTATGAGTACTAGTACGTCAAAAACCCCTACGCGTAAGACGTACTAGTACGACGAAAACCCTCAAAGGGTTAAATCTCATGTTGAGCTCCTCACATACCTCCTGATCATTTCTTGTGAGTTCCCCACCTTCTTTCCTCAACCTGGTCTTTGACTGTTGTCTTCCTCCTAATGTGGCTATACAGCAGTTTCGAGTCAGACTCGACTTTCAATGCTATGTCATTTTTGTACTGTCGCTGGGCCTCCCTCCTTATCTGTGCATAGTCATTTCTGGCTTTTCGACTAATCTCCTTATTTTCTTGGGTCCTTTGCCTTCTGCACCTTTTCCATTCTCTAATGCTCTTAGTTTTTGCCTCCCTATACCTTCGGGTAAACCAAGTACTCGCTTTGGTCTTCCCATTATTTCTGTTGCCCTTGGGAACAAACCTTTCCTCTGCTGCCTTGCATTTCATTGTTACATATTCTATCATTTCATTTACTGACTTTCCTACCAATTCTCTGTCCCATTGAACCTCCTGCAGGAAGTGAAGACAGCCTGTACTGTCTGCCAGCTTAGTTCATATTTTGCACCACTAAAGTGCTGTCCTGTGGGCCTGCTCCAGGTCTGCGGGATGCTGGGCTCACACTCTCTCACTCTTACAGCGGCCTAGCAGCAAGACAGAAGGCCTACTAGTTCTCCCTCTCGTGGGGTGGCCCTCCTGGGCCATGGGCACAACACACAAGCCTGTGTACCCACCACGACTTTGCAAATAAAGTAAGAAGCCTCCGAAGACGTTTATAATTCACACCCCGCTTGCAGAAACACCAAATAATCGCATGAAACATAAGTTCCTCATACCTGTGTAGTCCCGCCTTTTATCATTTGGCTTTTCCCATTCAACTCCTGTTACCCTCTCCACTTGTAACTGTACTATGTATGTATGTATGTGTGTGTGTTTGTATGTGTGTGTTTTTGTTTGTTTGCTTTTGTTTTGAAAATATATATATAAGGGATTCTGAAAGCAAATTACAAAAGTTGGTGGATGAATTTGGGAAGGTATGCAAAAGAAAGTGAACATACATAAGAGGAAGGTGATAAGGGTAACAAAAAGTGTAGGCAATGATATATTGAATATCAGTTTGGAGGGAGTATGGAAGAAGTTTATGTATATGGATATTTGGAAGTGGACATGTCAGCAGATGGGTCTATGAAAAGGTGAACATAAGAACATAAAGAGGACTGCTGCAGACCTACTGGCCAATGCTGAGCAAAGCCAAGTCGCACCCACTTGAGTATTTGTCTAACCTATAGATTGGGGAAAGGGGGGGGAAAAGTGGGTGGTGTGAAGTATCTGTGGAAAGAAAACTTGTCCGTATACCTTTGAAGAATTTCGAGAGCATATCTACTCTGAGCCCGGCCATGGGCCAGGCTCGTCTGGTGCTCGCCTGGTCAACCAGGCTGTTGTTGCTGGAGGCCCGCTGCCCCACATAGCCATCACAGCCTGGTTGAACTGGCACCTGGTGAAGATACTTAGTCTAGTTTCCTCTTGAAGGCTTCAACACTTGTTCCAGCAGTGTTTCTGATATCTTCTGGTAAGATGTTGAAAAGTCTGGGACCCCAGATGTTGATACAGTGTTTCCTTATTGTCCCCACCGCACCCCTGCTCCTCACTGGGTTTATTTTACACTTCCTCCCATATCTCTCACTCCAGTATGTTGTTATGGCAGTGTGCAGATTTGGGACCAAGCCCTCGAGTACCTTCCAGGTATATATTATCATGTACCTCTCTCTCCTCCGCTCCAATGAGTACATGTTCAAGACTTGCAGGCGTTCCCAGTAGTTTAGGTGCTTTACTGGCTCAATGTGAGCTGTAAACGATCTCTGTATTTGTTCCAGCTCCAATATTTCTCCTGCCCTGAACGGGGCCATCAGCACTGAGCAATATTCTAAGTGAGGGAGCAGTAGCGATTTGAAGAGTGTCACCATCAGCATTGTTTCCCTTGTTTTGAAAGTTCTCAATACCCACCCAGTCATCTTCCTGGCTGTCGTGATCTTTGTCTTGTTATGGTCTTTAAAAGAAAGGTCTGCTGACATAATTATTCCTAAGTCTTTTACGTGTTCCTTACGTTCTGTTTGGTGACCCTCTTGAGTTTTGTATATAGTGCTCCTTTTGAGTTCTTCATTCTTTCCATACCAAAGCAGCTGGAACTTATCACCATTGAACGTCATGTTGTTTTCCACTGCCCACTGGAAAACCCTGTTTATGCCTTCCTGTACTTTTTCAGTGTCCTCTACCATACTGACTTTCATGCTTATTTTAGTGTCATCTGCAAATGATGATACAAAAGTGTGCTGGGTGGTTTTGTCTATGTCTGCTATGAGGATGAGGAACAGCAGAGGTGCCAGGACAGTGCCTTGGGGCACTGAGCTTTTGACCTCGCTGATGCTGGATCTTGCCCTGTTCATTACTACTTTTTGTGTTCTGTGTGTTAGGAAACCGAAAATCCATCTGCCTACCTTCCCTGTAATGCCCATGGCCTTCATTTTGTGCGCTATCACTCTATGATCGCATTTGTCAAACACCTTTGCAAAATCTGTGTAAATCACATCTGCGTTTTGGTCGTCTTCCAGTGCCTCCGTAATTCTGTCATAATGGTTCAGCAGCTGTGACAGACATGATCGTCCTGCTCTAAAACCATGCTGGTTCGGGTTATGTTGGTTGTGCTGGTCCATGAAATTTGTACCAAATTATAGTGATACGAACACTTTTATGTGAGGATACCTGGAGTTTACCTGGAGAGAGTTCCGGGGGTCAATGCCCCCGCGGCCCGGTCTGTGACCAGGCCTCCTGGTGGATCAGAGCCTGATCAACCAGGCTGTTGCTGCTGGCTGCACGCAAACCAACGTACGAGCCACAGCCCGGCTGATCATGAACTGACTTTAGGTGCTTGTCCAGTGCCAGCTTGAAGACTGCCAGGGGTCTGTTGGTAATCCCCCTTATGTGTGCTGGGAGGCAGTTGAACAGTCTCGGGCAGGTTTTGAATGCTGCACCAACAAGGAGGCTAAAGGCAGTTAAGATTAATTTGAGAGCAATGTGTGATGTCAATATCATGTAGACAATGCAGAGTGTAGAAATTAAAAGGTGATGTGGGATAATCAAGGATATAACTCAGAGCTGAGGAGGGGTTGTTAATGTGGTTTGGGCATGTAGAAAAGATGGACAGAGACAGGATGAGGAAGAGGCTGTATAAATCTGGGCTGGAAGGTAGACAAGGCACAAATTGTCTCAGGAATGACTGGAGAAAGGGTCACAAGAATCTTTTGAGTTATAGGGGCTTAAGCATTCACCAACCTTGTGTAAATGGGTTATATAAGTGTGAATGGAGACAAGAGCAGGGTAATTTTTATGAAGGGATTCAGGGAAACCAGTCTGCTGGAGGTTGGAAGGGCAGTGCCTGCACTCTGAAGGAGGATGGGGATGTTGCAGTCAGAGGGGTCATCTGAACTGTGATGTCATCACATTTCTGGAAAGAGTGAATGCTATTAAAAGTGTTTTCTCTAACACACCGGCCATCTCCTGCCAAGGCAGGGTGACCCAAAATACAAACAATCACCATCATTCAGTCTGTCACTGTTCTGCCAGAGGCATGCTGATGCTACAATTCAAATGCTCCTTCAAACTGCAAATATCCTCACCCTTCCTTCAGAGTGCAAGCACTGTACTTCCCACCTCCAGGACTCTCTTCCTGCTAATCAGTTTCCCTGACTCCCCCTCATGTTATCTTGCTTACACTCCTAAAGCACTTAAAATCATCAAAATCACTTGTCTCCACTCTGATCTGTGCTGTATGACCCTAGTGGGTTTAGCATTTCATTTTTTTATTATAATAATCCACTCTGATCTAACATGCTCACACAAATCTGTTGGCTGTCCGAGCCTTTAGCACTCAAAACTTTCTTTACCCCCTCTCGCTGTATAGCCCTTGTGGCTTAGCGCTTCTTTTTGATTATAATAATAATTTACCCCCTCTCCAAACCTTCCTGGGATGACAACTACCTACTCCCCCTTGCCATCCTAGATTTATATACCTTTTAAGTCATCCTATTCTGATTCATCCTCTCTAAATGCTCAAACCACCTCAACTCCTCCTTAACCCTCTGAATTAAACTTTTGGTATCCTCATACCTAATCACCCTGCTCCAAATTATCTGAATAATATTTACAGCGCACACTGCCTTCATATATGACATCTCTATTACCTGCAGCCTCCTTACTGCAACATTTAAAATTCATGCTTCACACCCATATAACAGTGTTGATACCACTTTAGTTTGGTGCATTCCACTTTTGCCTCCGCGATGCACTATCCACCTATTGTATTTTATGATTCACCTAGTCTTTCTCAGCTCTGTCTCCCAACATGTCCTCTTCCAGATATCTAAAAACATACAGATAAACTTGAAGATAAGCTGCTGTGCAAAAAAAAAAAAAAAAAAAAAAGGGCATTCTGTAAATACAGAATTTAAAGATGACAGGAAAGACCCTTTAAACAAGTGGCACATTTCACTGATAGGCACTGTTGTAAAATTTCTAGACAAAAACATTAGAATAAAGAGCTAAAACCCTGATACGAGTTTCAGTTTTGATCAGCAACATCATGTATATTAAATTTAATACCAAGCTATTAAAATAATCACAAATTACTTAATCCAGTAAATTTTGCATTTGCCTCTTTATTTGTCTATTCTATTGGGGGAGGAGGAGTATGGAAGAAGTGAATGTTTTCAGATACTTGGGAGTTGACATGTCGGCGGATGGATTTATGAAGGATGAGGTTAATCATAGAATTGATGAGGGAAAAAAGGTGAGTGGTGCTTTGAGGTATATGTGGAGACAAAAAGTTATCTATGGAGGCAAAGAAGGGAATGTATGAAAGTATAGTAGTACCAACACTCTTATATGGGTGTGAAGCTTGGGTGGTAAATGCAGCAGCGAGGAGACGGTTGGAGGCAGTGGAAATGTCCTGGCTAAGGGCAACGTGCGGTGTAAATATTATGCAGAAAATTCGGATTGTGAAAATTAGGAGAAGGTGCGGAGTTGATAAAAGTATCAGTCAGAGGGCTGAAGAGGGGTTGTTGAGGTGGTTTGGTCATTTAGAGAGAATGGATCAAAGTAGAATGATATGGAGAGCATTTAAATCTGTAGGAGAAGGAAGGTGGGGTAGGGGTCGTCCTCGAAAAGGTTGGAAGGAAGGGGTAAGAGAGGCTTTGTGGGCGAGGGGCTTGGACTTCCAGCAGGCGTGCATGAGCGTGTTTGATAGGAGTGAATGGAGACGAATGGTATTTGGGACCTGACAATCTGTTGGAGTGTGAGCAGGGTAATACTTAGTGAAAGGATTCAGGGAAACGGTTATTTTTATATAGCCGGGCTTGAGTCCTGGAAATGGGAAGTACAATGCCTGCACTCTAAAGGAGGGGTTTCGGGATATTAGCAGTTTGGAGGGATATGTTGTGTATCTTTATACGTACATGTATATGCTTCTAAACTGTTGTGTTCTGAGCACCTCTGCAAAAACAGTGATTATGTGTGAGTGAAGTGAAAGTGTTGAATGATGATGAAAGTATTTTCTTTTTGGGGATTTTCTTTCTTTTTTGGGTCACCCTGCCTCAGTGGGAGACGGCCGACTTGTTGAGAAAAAAAAAAATTGCTTGAGAAGTATTTAACCACCTATCATATTTCACAAATCAGATAAAAAGAAACTCTTCTCCTCAACAAGCTAAAGGTAGCAGTCTCCTGTGTGCTACATTTTACTAGGTCAAAACTACTAGGTATACCTGATATACCTGGAGGGTGTTTCAAGGGTTAACACCCCCATAGTCCAGTCCATGACCAGGCCTCATAATAAAGCTACAAATATATGCCAAAGGTTTTTCACAACGACACGGATTCCATTTAGTCGCAGCAATGTAATTTAGTTATGCAGGGTAATTAAATTACTGGAGAAATAATTAACATAGGTTCACCGTTTCTTTGAAGATGTTCGACGACCTACATGCAGCACCACTTTGCCCGAACGGATAGCCTTGAACATGGCAATCGCTTCAGCATGACTTGCTCCAGCAAGGCTCTCACCATTCACAGCAAAAATCTCATCACCTAAGAATAAAAACAAAACTGTTTAATATTTAATAATTAATTTTTTTATTAATATTTTACAGTACTGTACTGTCTAAATATGAAAGCATATAAGCATTCCAGAAGATATAAAGTGCACACAATATCTTTTTTGAAATATGAATAGTAATCTTTTCTACTTTATTCCAGTATCACGTAGTACTTGAATGCAAGTACCTTCCTGACCTGTCCTCCTCGTTAACCACCTGAACAACCTAGCTGTTGCTGGGTTGTTTAACATTTTATATAAATATTGTTTATAAACTTCTGCTTTTATGTAGGTAAAATTTCCAGTACATGCTGATAAAGGCTAGAGTCCTGGACAACAGATGTTGATGAAGTGTTTTTCAGCTTCCTTGATAAAAGTGATTCTTGAACCAAAGAATGGGATTTATCTTCCTTTTCGATGGATCAAACCTGACGGCATCCCATTCTCCAAATGCTACATGACCCCTATAGGTTTAGCACTTTTCCCTAGTTAAAAAAAACAATCAAAACAAATTACTGTACCTTCTTTTAATGTTCCCTCCTCAACAGCTTGTCCACTTGGAAATATAGTTTTAACAAAGATGCCAATATTGCCCTTTGGAGAGTCCCTTCCTCCAACAATGGAGAATCCAAGCCCCTTCTTCCCATGGCCCTTCTCAAAAACCACTGTATGGAAGGAGAGATTGAGTGACTTAGGTCTCCGAGGCAGTGTTGATGTAGAGGAGGAACGATGTGTTCTCTGCGACACCTATGAAGTAAAGACAGTTGAAATACAGTATTTTGGGTAAAGTACTGTATATTTATTTTTATTAACACATCAGCCATTTCCCACCAAGGTAGGGTGGCCCGAAAAAAAAACTGCATAGTCTGTACTTTTAATTTTCATAATTCCCACTAAATTAAACATTACCATTTAATTTTGCTTATTTTAATGTGCATTACAGTGTACATACATGTATACAAGTGTAAAATGAACACACTACAGGACTTCCTACAGTATAATGTACAGGCTTACATATCACCCACCCAGCTACCTGTATTCTTTTTCAAGCTCTGCAAACAGTTTTGTCCCTTTCGTAATGTCAAAGAGTTATGCCCATGTATATTACACATAAAGCATACAATAACCATTGCATCAGAATGCTGTATATCAATTCTGCAAACTCAGTTTTGTGATTAACCTTCTTGTACAACAACTATGGATATCCCACTTTGGGGAATACCTAAACATGCTACAAGGGTCAGGTTTTGAAATATACTGCGGTAGGATAACAGCTCTTAGCTTGTAAAATAAATGCTAGAAATAAGTATAATCCCTTAAATAAGTTGATTCACTGGTCTAGAACTGACATCTGACATGACAAAAAAAAAAAAATCATTGTTCTCCATTGTCACGAAAACTAGAAGTTTGAAAGCGTAAAAATAAGGAGGGAAGGAGACAGACAAATGCAAAGTTATTGTAAATGGAGATTTTAACCATAAATAAATAAACTCGAGTAACTAATGAGGCTGGTCAATAGAATTCCTAAACATAACTTTTATTTCTCCATGGGGAAGTTGGAATAGAAAACTTTCTCCGTAAGCCATGTGTGTTGTAAGAGGCAACTAAAATCCCAGGAGCAAGAGGCTAGTAATCCCTTCTCCTGTATATATTACTAAAGTTAAAAGGAGAAATTTTCATTTTTCTTTTTGGGCCACCCTGCCTCGGTGAGATACGGCCGGTTTGTTGAAAGAAGAATAACTTTTTTTATATAGTGTACATTAGTATATAATTGAAGTTATTGTTGTTATTTTTATTTACATAGCACTAGAATCATTTGGTTAGTCAGTATTTTAACATACAGTATCCTGTTCTTCTTTCTTTCAACACACTGGCCATATCCCACCTAGGCAGGGTGGCCCAAAAGGAAAAACGAAAGTTTCTCCTTTTACATTTAGTAATATATACAGGAGAAGGGGTTACTAGCCCCTTGCTCCCGGCATTTTAGTCACCTCTTACAACACGCATGGCTTACGGAGGAAGAATTCTATTCCACTTCCCCATGGAGGTAAGAGGAAATAAACAAAAACAAGAACTAGAATGAAAATAGAAGAAAACCCAGAGGGATGTGTGTGTATATATATATATGCTAGTACATGTATATGTAGTGTGACCGAAGTACAAGTAGAAGTAGCAAGACATACCTGAAATCTTGAATGTTTATGAGAGACAAAAGACACCAGCAATCCTACCATCATGTAAAACAATTACAGGCTTTCGTTGTGCACTCACTTGGCAGGACGGTAGTACCTCCCTGGGAGGTTGCTGTTTACCAACCTACTACCTAGGACAGTATCCTGTTACAAACATCAAATTTACAGTATCAATACCAACTTGCTACTGCTGTGACCGATTCTCTCACATACATAAATCACAATATCAGTGAAATTACAAAAACTATTTTTCACATTCTGTAATCCATGTCATCTGTCTGGACCATTAGCAAATTTAGACACATGGGGAAAAAATGTCCACTATTTAATCCACCACGGTAAGGTGACCCAGCATTGGGGGATATAAATGAAGCGACACTGGTAAGAGAAGGCAAGATATCAATATTATACATAATATTTACCAGACTGGAGGAAGAAATTTTCAACATAAATTACTGTACATATATAAACAAATTTGGAAAGTGATTACATTCTATTGGAAATAACATATGCTGCTAAATATGGCTTACGAAATAAAAAAACAGAAAGATTAGATTATATAAGGAAAGAAAATATAATCCCCTATATTGAGGGTATAGCAAGATTTACATCGGTGAAACAGGATGAGACCTTCAGATTTTTATGCAGGCACACAAATATGCATGCAGGATGGATGATGCAAAAATGCATGCATCATTAACTGCAGCTTACACTCTCATATAATGAGCTGGGAAGCAGCACTGCAGTTGAAGCAGGAGGACAGAGCCAAGCAAAGAGTTCTGGAGGCAACTACAATTCATTTAACTAATGTCAATGATCAAGAGAAAATGATGTATGTACATGCTTGCAGGAGCCATCTCTCATTATCCATGATTCATATACTATAAATGTTACTCATAACCTGGCCCATTTTCCTTCTCACATCATTTATGATCATTATTTGCCCAGTCTCACCCCTCTGACCTCATTTCTCACCTCTCATTCAACCTTTCCCAAGCCTGACCTCAGGGTGCTCGCTTGCCTTATAAGATGAAAGGAAGAACCTGCTCTTACTCTTGCCACTATTACTGCTACAACCACCAACATAATGGATAATTTAGCCTCTTGTACCACTTATTTCCTAATACCCTGGCATGCTAGATACACTGAAGATATCTAAGTGACTGTTATGGAATTCATTCTAAGACACAGGCGACGACAAGTACTACAAAAAATAGTCTTGCCACAAAACAAACAAACCTGTTTGGACATGGCAGTAAGTCCTGTACCATGTATGGATGCAACAGACGCCATGGATGTGACTGTCCTGGCCGACACCTGGGAAGTCTGAGAGGATGGCCGCTCATCAAACACTCCATCTTCCAGTAGTGGCAACAATCGTCTAGGCTCATCCTCACCTGATGGAAGAGGCAAACCTGTGTGAAAGTTGAATGGGAAGATTATGGAATTTGTGCATGGGGCTCAACAACAATAAATCATCTCAGACCATTAATTACCCAACAAAAGGCTCAGTCAAAATGAAAAAAACAAATTCCCCCTCCAGGCAGCATACTCCACCAATATTCAAAACTCTAAACTTACTGTACAAAACTTTCATACTTATTATTGTGCCTACTACATACATAGAACACTAAACTCCGATAAAAACCCTTTCCTTAAACTTCTCCTTACCAACCTCAACAGAATACATAACCATAACACAAGGCACAGATCACTCTCTGATGATCCCTGTGTCCACCTCACACTGTGTAAAACCTTGATGCACATAAAAGGCCCAAAAATTTGGAATTCTTTCCTGTGAATACAAAAGGAACACTGTCTGTTTATCAATTCAAGACTCTTCTTAAAAAACACTTACTCACCCAAAACTAAATAAATATTGAATAACTGTATTTCATAGATGTATAACCAGTGACCCCTATCAAGTTTTGTTGTTAATTGTAATGCTACAAATTTGTACAACTATAATGCTTCATAACTGAAATTTTCAAATTTCATTGTTTAAAATACTCAATAAGGAATTTCACAGCAGACCTAGAGACTGTTGACTGGCCTACAGAATTCTACAATGCCAATGGTATTGACGATTGGACAGAAATTTTTCTTAACAAAATACTTAGACTATACAACAAACATTGTCCTATAAAAACGAAACAGATCACAAATAAACGGCTTGGTTGCCCATGGCTAACCAGCAGCATTCTGAAATCCATTGATAAGAAACACCAATATGACAAACAATATAGACAGGGCTTAATACACAAAGATATTCTTAAACAATATTCAACAGTTCTCACCAAATGTGCAACTCTTGGGTATCTTCATTGAGGAAACGTTTCGCCACACAGTGGCTTCATCAGTCCATACAATGGAGAATCTTGAAGAACAGGAGGAGAATGAGGTAATCAGTCCCTCAACCTTGAGTCGATGTGGTCAGTCCATCAATCTTGAATAGAATACGGCATACGTCCGGAGAAGGAGCTTATAAACCGTTGGTAGGAGAGGTGCAGCAGTCATAGATGGTGTCACATTTGTTCAATGTGAAAGTAGGTCATGCCCAAGAATTAGGCATGTCGGTTCTCTGAACCATTCATCTACAAGTTCTCACCAAATTAATAAAGAAAGCCAAACATCAACCAAATCTTTCAGTGGGCTGCAGAAAACAATATGAAGTTCAACGATGAGAAATTTCAATTACTCAGATATGGTAAACACGAGGAAATTAAATCTTCATCAGAGTACAAAACAAATTCTGGCCACAAAATAGAGCGAAACACCAACGTCAAAGACCTGGGAGTGATCATGTCGGAGGATCTCACCTTCAAGGACCATAACATTGTATCAATCGCATCTGCTAGAAAAATGACAGGATGGATAATGAGAACCTTCAAAACTAGGGAGGCCAAGCCCATGATGACACTCTTCAGGTCACTTGTTCTATCTAGGCTGGAATATTGCTGCACACTAACAGCACCTTTCAAGGCTGGTGAAATTGCCGACCTAGAAAATGTACAGAGAACTTTCACGGCGCGCATAACGGAGATAAAACACCTCAATTATTGGGAGCGCTTGAGGTTCCTAAACCTGTATTCCCTGGAACGCAGGCGGGAGAGATACATGATTATATACACCTGGAAAATCCTAGAGGGACTAGTACCGAACTTGCACACGAAAATCACTCACTACGAAAGCAAAAGACTTGGCAGACGATGCAACATCCCCCCAATGAAAAGCAGGGGTGTCACTAGCACGTTAAGAGACCATACAATAAGTGTCAGGGGCCCGAGACTGTTCAACTGCCTCCCAGCATACATAAGGGGGATTACCAATAGACCCCTGGCAGTCTTCAAGATGGCACTGGACAAGCACCTAAAGTCGGTTCCTGACCAGCCGGGCTGTGGCTCGTACGTTGGTTTGCGTGCAGCCAGCAGTAACAGCCTGGTTGATCAGGCTCTGATCCACCAGGAGGCCTGGTCACAGACCGGGCCGCAGGGGCGTTGACCCCCGGAACTCTCTCCAGGTACTCCAGCAGATTCACTGACACAAGGGGAGGTATAAAAAAGACCTGGAAAACACTTTCCCAGATTCTGGGGACCCACAAACTGAAAAAACAAGGATATTGTTCTAACTAAACCTCATAAAACACCACTGCATCCCACTGATACAGCTAACAAGATAAACGACATAGGATCTAATTTCGCCAGTAAAATCCCATGTACCAATGCCCGTGCCGGGGACTACCTAGATGGGAATTTCCCAAATTCCTTCTATCTGAGCCCACGGAAGTCACCCACGAAGTAGGGGCTCTGGTGGCCTGGTGGCTAACGCTCTCGCTTCACACGGCGAGGGCCTGGGTTCGATTCCCAGCCAGAGTAGAAACATTGGACGTGTTTCTTTCCACCTGTTGTCTATGTTCCCCATCAGTAAATAAAAATGGTACCTTGGTGTTAGTCGACTGGTGTGGGTCGCATCCCGGGACACTGACCTAATTTGCTCGAAATGCAGAGCATAACAAGGGAGCTTCTATATAGTAGTATGTCATTGTTGTCAGCTAGGACTATATACCTTGTACATGTATTTGTAGTAAATAAAGATAGTCACTTAAAAATAACTTGGGGAATCTGTCTCACGTCCCACCATTATTGTACAAGCGAGCGGCCCATGCCCTTTCGCATGCTATTACATTACTTTTTAACAAGTCACTAGAAACTTGCACTTTCCCGACACTACTCAAGACAGCAAGGGTTACACCAATACATAAAGGTGGTGACCCTACAGACGTAAACAACTATAGGCCAATATCAAACTTACCATTGCTATCCAAAATCTTCGAGAAACTCGTGCACAGGAGACTATATTCATATATAACGTCACAAAACATACTCAACCCCTGCCAATTTGGATTCAGGAAAAATAAAAGCACTAATGTTGCAATTATAAAAATGCTAGACCTGCTTTACACAGCATTGGAAAATAAGGAATATCCGCTAGGAATTTTTAATGACCTAAGAAAAGCGTTTGACACAGTAGACCACGGCATCCTACTCCACAAACTTTACCACTATGGTATAAGAGGCCATGCGCTTGCATATTTTAAATCCTACCTTTCTAATAGGTATCAGTATGTCACCATTAAAGACACAGCCTCATCAATACGGCCACTTGATACCAGAGTTCCGCAGGGAAGTGTCCTTGGACCTCTGCTCTTCCTCATTTACATCAATGATCTTCCAAACATATCCCAACACCTGAAACCCTTTCTCTTTGCTGACGACACGACTTATGTCATCTCCCACCCTAATCTTGCCACCCTCAACACCATTGTTAACGAGGAGCTGCTCAAAATATCGACTTGGATGACAGCCAATAAACTTACACTTAACACTGGCAAAACCTACTATATTATGTTGGGTAGCAGAGCAGGTGTTGTGCAACTTAACATTAAGATCGACAACACTCTAATTGCCAGACATAATGAGGGCAAATTCTTAGGCCTATACCTCGACAACAACCTAAATTTCAGCACCCATATCCAACACAAAAAAAAAAACGTATCCAAAACGGTGCGGATCCTCTCCAAGATACGATACTACTTGCCGCAAACTGCACTTCTCACACTATACCATTCACTTATATATCCATACCTCACCTATGCTATCTGTGCTTGGGGTTCAACTGCAGCAACACACCTAAAGCCAATAATAACCCAACAAAAAGCCCCAGTAAGAATAATCACTAAATCCCATCCCTGGCAACACCCCCCCCCCACTCTTCATAGATCTAAACTTACTCCCTGTTCAGAACATCCACACTTACTACTGTGCAATCTATATCTACAGGACCTTAAATTCAAATATTAACCTTGACCTAAAATGCTTTCTTGATAGTTGTGACAGGATCCACAGGCATAACACCAGACACAAACATCTCTATGACATTCCCCGTGTTCGACTAAACCTTTACAAAAATTCAATGTATTTCAAAGGACCTAAAATCTGGAACACCCTACCTGAAAACTCTAGAACTGCACACACATTCATCACTTTCAAAACTACAGTTAGAAAACATCTTAATCTCCCTGATCCACCCCGACAACTAACTACATGATTACCACCTGGTGGTTCACAATTACACTCACTCACTCACTGACTATAAACCCAGAAATACTAATCTTAATCTTAAAATAATCCTAACTAGTCATAAGTTTGCCTATGATACTCCAATATAGACACTTTGTATTGTGCCAAAACAAAAGCATTCACATTTCTAAACTCACAAATTATGATGTAGTCACTTAGCCTTAATACCATAATCTGTAAGGATTTAATGTTAAGAATTAATCTAAGTCTGCTCGAAATACCTAGCCATGCTAGGTGTCCTAGTGGCCCCCTCTGTAATTAGTATTTTATGACATGTAAACCACACAATGCCTAAAACCTGTAAACCCCACATTGTAACCCTTATATAGAATAAACTTGAATTGAATTGAAGTGAACTGAATTGCACTTCATATTGTTAATTGTTTACTGTAATTTTTACCACTTCATCTATCATTGCTTAGTTAATCTTAAGTTAATTTTAAGCCTGTGCCATAATGCTCTCCATACAAGGGCTTTTGGCATGTACACCCAACTACTAAAATTCCTTGTACAACTATGTATCATGTCCAAATAAAAATTATTATTATGTTATTAGTCTAGAAAACAGATGTGCGTCAGTGGGTTAAGGTAAGGGCCACAGATGGTGAGGGTAAGATGACAAGATAGATATTGAAGGTAAATGACCTCTATTGGTTTAGCACTTTCCCCTAAATATAATAAAGAAATATGCTTCAGTCACTGTGTGACTGAGCGATATTCCTCATATCGCGTAACCCCAGTTCCCTACACATCACTGTATGCAAGAGGCACAGGAGTTACAAATCAACTCTCAAGACACCTCCAAGCTGTAATTCAACCCTTCCACAGGTCTGATAGCTGAAGGTCAACACCTTCATAATTCCCAGGAGAAAAAGCTCAAAACACTCAAGGGGTGTTACAACTAACTTAAACATCCGTAAGAGGCCTGGGAACTGTAGGTCACACCCCTCCAAGAGGCTCAAAAGCTTAATGGTTAAAGAATTAGATAGTACATATATGTAAAAAGTTGACTGCATAAAAATAATATGGTGCAGACATAAGGTGACAACATTTTAAAATTTTCAGTTTGTTGCCCAAATTTATTAAGTGATCCAAAAGGGTAAGTACAATACCCTCCATTTGGTAATAAAACTGACAAATTGGCACCTACATAGGTCAATAAAAATCTAACCTTTATTTAGGTAATATGCACTATCACAAAGTTTGAAAATGATATAAAGAGGCATTATAAAATTATTGTATAGAAAAAGGTATAATTTGGCCTGTAAAACTGGCAACCATTCAAACTTTCCTCTAGGTTGGATTTTTTTTTTTTAAGACGTCAGCCGTTTCCCACCGAGGCAGGGCGACGCAAAAAGAAAGAAAAAATTTTCATCATCCAACACTTTCACCATCACTCGTACATAATTACTGTCTTTGCAGAGGCACCCAGATACGACAGTTTTGGTGTCCCTCCAAACTGCCAATATCCCAAAACCCCTCCTTTAGAGTGCAGGCATTGTACCTACCACTTCCAGGACTCAAGTCTGGCTAACTGGTTTCCCTGAATCCCTTCACAAAATATTACCTTGCTCACACTCCAACAGCTCATCACGTACCAAACATCATCTGTTTCCATTCACTCTCTCTCTCTCTCTCTCTCTCACACACACACATACATATATACATATACATGTATATTCATTCTCCATGGGAAAGTGGAACAGAATTCGACCGTAAATCATGCTGTTGTAAGAAGCGACTAAAATGCCATGAGCAAGGGGGTTAGTAATCCCTTCTGTATAAATTACTAAATGTAAAATGAAGAAAAACTTTTGTTTCTTCTTTTTCAGGACACCCTGCCTCAGTGGGAGAAGGATGGTGTGTTAAAAATTAAATACATAGTTTGTTGATGTTTTGTCCTATAATATCCCCAGTTAAATCTGCAAATGGAGTTTGCCACCACCAATACCAAATACAATTCATTGCACATCCCTATTATTAAAAGACTCTCAAATGCCTTCTAAACATTTATATGGCTCATCATCGTTTCAGCTTCTAAATGTGACCCCCTGTTCATGGTTTCTGCATTTCAGTCGGTATTTGTTTTGGCTTATATGAGATGGCTCAGTGGAATGGCGGACGCCTGGCACTTACCAGTTGAAAGTTCGTGTCACCCGAGAGGAGCTATAAGCAAAAATATGAAGCTCGAACTAACCCTGATAACATGAACATAAGTACGTCTATGGAGCAACTTTCAATATGAAGCGACTCATGTCTGTCAGTTACACGTGATGATAAAACTCAATGCATTGAATGTGGTCAGTCTTACTGTCACCCTTGAACACACTGTGCATAATTGTTCACTTTAACCCCTCAGGGGAGGTTCCTTGATGCTGGTGAGGGGCTCTTGACCCTGGGGAATTGGATCTGTACTCCAGTTCCCTGAACTGGGCCTGAATACCTTCCAGGCGCTGTATAATCCCTACAGGTTTAGCGGTCCCCATAATAATAATAATTGTTTACTTATTCAAGAATATACGTAGAGTATGACAACCTATAACAGCCTATATACCATGTACATGTACTTGTAGTAAAGGTATAATAATAATTACATTATTATTATTAGTATTAGTATTATTATTATGTGGCCTGATGGCTAAAGCTCTCGTTTCATACGGCGAGGGTCTGGGTTCGATTCCCAGCGAGGGCGTGTTTCCTTAAACTGGTTGTCAATGTTCATCCATCAGTAAAGTGGGTACCTGGGTGTTAGTCGACTGGTGTGGGTCGCATCCTGGGACAAAATGACCTAATTTGCCCGAAATGTTCAGCATAACATACAGTAGTAGTGTCATTGATGTCAGCTAGGCCTGTATACCATGTACTTGTAGTAAATAATTACATATAATTATTATTATTATATCACTGCTAAATAATACTAACTAAAATATAACTGGTATCAGATGTGCAGCAATGTTAAACGTAAACTTAAGAAGGTTAGGTTGCAAAGTTAATTTTAGTGAAAAAAAAAATAGTAAAATAATATCTACCAGCTCGAAACATAGTAAATATTTGCAATTTTTTTGTTTTAAGAAAACTCTGCTTGTGAGATACTTGAGAAAAAATTACCTGATGAAGAGTCAGAGACAGTGCGAACCATGACGGCAGTAACTACACCTTCCCTGAGGGAGTCTAGACGTCGTCTCTTTCTGATGTCCCCCCGTGTCTCCCTACATCCCCGGGGCTCTGGCCAGCACCCATGGAGGTCACAGTCGCAGGCATGGTCACGGGAGCAGTGTTGGTCACTCGGTAGGTCTGCCAGGTATCGCGAATAAATCAAATCTGAGGGCAAGTCACGAGGGCAACACCGCACTTCACCTGACACTTCGCTGGACTCCAGGAGATGTCCCAAGTCCCGAAGATTTATGGTGCCGTCCTCATCATCTTCCTCATGGCGGCATTCATGACAGGTCGTCTGACAGGCCTGGGCAACTTGACGGACCTCTACGGGTGCCTCCTCGTCATGCGTACTGTCTGCCCGGGAATCGACCCGGGTTTCCACACGCGAATCGACGCGTCCACTGTTGACAGAGGCCTCGTCGAGGTCTGAGTAGCCACACTCCTGGGTGTGTGGCTCCCGCGACACTACTACATCCACTTCGGAGGGAGTGTGACGCAGGATGTGTCTGGCCTCCTCCAGGGTGACGCCTTGTAGCCGTACGCCGTTCACATTGATGATCTCGTCTCCAACACGTAAGCGGCCGTCCCTGTGGATATGAAGAGAGGATAGAGGTTGTAATATATAACACAATACGGTGGCTGCAACACTTCAAAACACATACAGTACCATGGCTACAACAATTCACAACACAGCATCTAGAACAATTCACAACACAATACCGTGGTGCTCCACGTGTGCGCATACTACATGTTTTGAAGATGAGACAGGCGCTTTACTCAGTCAGTGTGTTGCTGCCATACAACAGGATTTATTTAAAATCCTCGTAGGGTTCCTCCCCACCCATCAACCCCCACAAACACCCAGACTCCACACCCCCAGTCACATACTCTTCATAACCTTTGCTCTTGAGAGTGACACGATTGCCCCTCGTGGCACTATGCTGCTAACAGTGAATTTTCACCAGAAAATACTGAGATTCTCTATTGCTCTCAGATTCAGTAACCATCTAAGTTATTGTTCATAATTTACATGAAGTACTTAGATAAGGTGTGTGTGAAAGTCGGTGAGGGAGTGTGTGTGTACTCACCTAGTTGAGGTTGCAGGGGTCGAGTGTGTATGTGTGTGTGTGTGTGTGTACTCACCTAATTGTGGTTGCAGGGGTCGAGACTCAGCTCCTGGCCCCGCCTCTTCACTGATTGCTACCAGGTCCTCTCTCTCTCTCTGCTTCCTGAGCTTTATCATACCTCTTCTTAAAACTATGTATGGTTCCTGCCTCCACTGCTTCACTTGCTAGGCTATTCCACTTCCTGACGACTATGACTGAAGAAATACTTCCTAACGTCCCTGTGACTCGTCTGAGTCTTCAGCTTCCAGTTGTGACCCCTTGTTCCTGTGTCCCCTCTCTGGAACATCCTATCTCTGTCCACCTTATCTATTCCCCGCAGTATCTTGTATGTCGTTATCATGTCTCCCCTGACCCTTCTGTCCTCCAGTGTCGTCAGTCCGATTTCCCTCAACCTTTCCTCGTACGACATTCCCCTGAGCTCTGGGACTAGCCTTGTTGCAAACCTTTGTACTTTCTCTAACTTCTTGACGTGCTTGACCAGGTGTGGGTTCCAGACTGGTGCTGCATACTCCAGTATGGGCCTAACATACACAGTGTTTCAGTGTCTTGAACGATTCCTTATTTAGGTATCGGAACGCTATTCTCAGGTTTGCCAGGTGCCCATATGCTGCAGCAGTTATTTGGTTGATGTGTGCCTCCGGTGACGTGCTCGGTGTTATGGTCACCCCGAGGTCTTTCTCCCTGAGTGAGGTCTGTAGTCTTGCCGTCTCTAGTTGTATTAGTTGTATGTCGGGACGACATACGTTAGCGTCGCCGAGCTCTCGGTAGTAGTACCAGTTCCTAGTAACCAGTTGCCAGTAACCAGTGTACCAGTAGATGACTCACTACCAACCATCTGTGCGAATCATTGACTGTATTCATATTGCTGCTGACCATAGCAGGATTTCAAACACCCTCACCCGTAGGCACTCATGGGTCAGTCAAGATAGGGAGCAGAGAGAGGCAGGTCGGCTGTTGGTGCCTTCCCATACTTTCCGTTATATTATACGTACTACCAGCCTACGTGAGTATTCTTACCCCATCCACTTTATCGAGAAACCCACATGACATATACTCTGTCTGCGGTCTTCTTTGCCCCTCCCCAATCTTCATGACTTTGCATTTGGCAGGATTGAATTCGAGAAGCTCAGTTTCTGGACCACATGTCCAGCCTGTCCAGGTCTCTTTGCAGTCCTGCCTCATCCTCATCCGATTTAATTCTTCTCATCAACTTCACATCATCTGCGAATAGGGACACTTCAGAGTCTATTCCTTCCATCATGTCGTTCGCATGTATCAAAAATAGCACTGGCCCTAGAACTGACCCCTGTGGGACCCCGCTCGTCACAGGCGCCCACTGTTATACCTCTTCACGTACCATGACTCGTTGCTGCCTCCCTGTCAGGTATTCCCTAATCCACTGCAGTGCCCTCCCTGTTACATGCGCCTGATCCTCCAGCTTCTGCACTAATCTCTTGTGGGGAACTGTGGGGAGCCTGCACTCTAGGAAAACACAATCAACCCACCCCTCTCTCTCGTGTCTTACTTCTGTTACCTTGTCATAAAATTCCAGGAGGTTTGTGATACAAGATTTGCCTTCCATGAACCCATGCTGGTTTTCATTTATAATCTTGTTCCGTTTCAGGTGTTCGACCACTCTCCTCCTGATAATCTTCTCCATGACTTTGCACACAATACATGCCAGACACACAGGTCTGTAGTTTAGCGCCTCGTTTCTGTTTCCTTTCTTAAATATGGGGACTACATTTGCTGTCTTCCATTTCTCAGGAAGTTGCCCAGTTTCAAGGGATGTGTTGAAGATTATGGTTAAAGGTACGCACAGCATCTCTGCTCCTTCTCTAAGGACCCATGGGGAGATGTTGTCCGGTCCCATCGCCTTTGAGGTGTCAAGGTCACTTAGCAGCTTCTTCACCTCCTCCTCGGTTGTTCGTATGTCATCCAACACTTGGTGGTATATTCCCTCTGATGTTCCCTTCTATACTGACTTCCCACAGCCCTGTCTCTACTGTAAAAACTTCCTTAAATCTCCTGTTTAGCTCCTCACATACCTCCTGGTCATTTCTTGTGAGTTCTCCCCCTTCTGTCCTTAATCTGATCACCTGGTCTTTGACTGTTGTCTTCCTCCTGATGTGGCTATACAACAGTTTTGGGTCAGTCTTGATTTTCGATGCTATGTCATTTTCATACTGTCGCTGGGCCTCCCTCCTTTACCTGTGCGTACTTGTTCTGGCTCTGCGACTGATCTCCCTATTTTCGTGTGTTCTCTGCCTTCTGTACTTTTTCCATTCTCTATTGCACTTTGTTTTTGCCTCCTTACACCGTCGGGTAAACCAGGGGCTCGTTCTGGTCTTCCCGTTGTTTCTGTTGCCCTTGGGAATAAACCTTTCCACTGCCTCCTTGCATTTTGTTGTTACATATTCCATCATTTCATTTACTGGCTTTCCTGACAATTCTCTGTCCCATGGGACCTCCTGCAGGAAGTTCCTCAACCCTATGTAGTCCCCTCTTTTTATAGTTAGGCTTTTCCCATTCAACTCCTGTTATTCTCTCCACTTGCAGCTCTATATATTCAAAGCACAGAACCACGTGGTCGCTAGCTCCTAGCGGACTCTCATACATGATGTCCTCAATGTCTGAACTGCCCAGGGTGAACACAAGGTCAAATCTTGCTGGTTCATCCTCCCCCTCTCACTCTGGTAGTGTCCTTAACATGTTGGTGCATGAGGTTTTCCAGCACCACGTCCATCATCTTGGCTCTGCATGTTTCGGGACCCCCATGTGGCTCCAGGTTTTCCCATTCAATCTCCCTGTGGTTGAAATCCCCCATAACCAGCAACTTTGCTCTGCTGGAGTGAGCTCTTCTTGCCACCTCAGCAAGTGTGTCCACCATTGCTCTGTTGCTCTCTTCATATTCCTCTTTGGCCTCTGCGTTCTGTGGGGGAT